CACCGGTTTTATTAGATTCAAAATATTTCAACCCTCCTACTACAAATCCATTAATACTGTCGATATGTACAATTATAAGCTGCTTGCCTTTTCCTGCAAGAATAACAATTAATTAAAAAAAGAAAAGTACTTTTTGTATAATCATCATATTTTGTTAATAACACTCTAGCGATGTGCCGTGTAGTGGCGGTTGAGAATATCCACTACCCCATATCTTCCCGTGGGTGTCGTAAGAAGCGACAGAGGAAGACAGGCAGGAGATGGGCAGAAGCATCTTCCTAATAACAACAATAATATAATAAAAAACAGCGGTTGCCAACCCGCTCGCCAAGCGTGGCAACTATGGCAAATATCCCCCCATGAGTAACGACGCAAACAAACGGCCCCCAGTCCCCGGCGGCCCCGCTATTCCTGGCTACGGTGGCGACCATGGTAACGGCGGGGCAGGGGTGCTGAGAATCTCCGGTGGAGGTTCGGTTGCCACCTACGACGACTCGACCTGGCAACTTATAACGCACGCACCCTGAGGACTGACGCGAAGATACTGGAGTTGGAAGAAGAGGTAGACAAGTTGCGCTGGCATATTATTGGATTATCCGAGGTCCGAAGAAAGGAGGAGGACACGGTAATCCTCGAGTCCGGCAATTTGTTCTATCACCGGGAGGGCGACCATCTGTCCCAAGGAGGTGTCGGATTTATCGTCCACAAGTCTCTCGTCAACCACGTTGTAAAGATTGGGAGTGTGTCCACGAGGGTCGCGTACCTGTTTCTCAGAATCACCAAACGGTATTCGCTAAAGGTCATACAGGTTTACGCATCAACCTCGGCACATCCCGATGAGGATGGATGAGGAGGTGGAGGAAATGTATGAGGATATTTCTAGAGCCATGCATTCCTCCAAAACCCACTACACGGTGTTGATGGGAGACTTCAACGCAAAACTAGGCACAAGAGAAAGCGGTGAGCTGAAGTTAGGGAAATTTGGAGAAAGGCAACGGAGCCGTAGGGGCCAGTAGCTGGCCGACTTCATGGAGAAAGTGGGACTCTTTATGATGAACTCTTTCTTCCAGAAGCGGCCCCACAGGAAGAGAACCTGGTCAAGCCCCGACGGTTCGACAAAAAATGAGATTGACTTTATTATGACGACTAGACGCCAACTGTTCAGTGATGTCTCAGTTATCGCAAGGGTGAAAACTGGCAGCGATCACCAAATGGTTAGAGGAACACTGAATCTAAACGTTAAGTTGGAGAGGTCTCGTCTAATGAAGTCAACGCTCCGTCCCCCTCGTGCTCTAATCCCGAATCCCGAAACCTTTCAGCTCGAGTTACATAACCGCTTTCAGTGCCTAGAAGACTGCAATGCAGTGGACGATATGAATGACACGCTCGTGGAAACTGTCCATGCGGTCGGAGAAAAGTTCTGCAAGACCCGCCGCAGAAGAACACAAAAGCTCTCCGATCACACTCTTAATCTCATGGCTGTTAGACGGGAGATGAGGCTCCAATCGTCAACAGATTTGACAGCATACAGGCAACTGAACAGATAGATCTCCAAATGCATGCGGCGAAACCTACGCAACTTTAATACTGCTCGTATTAAAGAAGCGATTGAGCGGAATCAGGGATCCAAAGTCTTTGCCAGAGATCTGTCTGCCAGAAAGAGCCAACTGTAAAAGCTGAAGACTGAGTGTGGCAGCATCGTTTCCGGGACTCCTGAGATTCTGAGTGAGATTGAGAGGTTCTATGGGCAGCTGTACACATCATCGTTGGAGCCACACGCAAGTGTGCGATCCAAGAGCAAGTCTTATCCGACACTATTCCGATGATAACCCGGACGTCAGTCTGAGCGAGATTAAAATGGTTCTCCAGCACATTAAAAACGGCAAGTCCCCGGGCGAGGATGGAATTACAGCGGAGCTTCTGAAAGCTGGTGGAAAACCGGTACTTGAAGTCCTTCAGAGGCTCTTTAATTCCGTCCTCCACGGTGGCACTACTCCGGAGGCGTGGAGCAGAAGTGCGGTGATCTTGTTCTTCAAGAAAGGTGACAACGCCTTCTTGAAGAACTACAGACCGATATCCCTTCTAAGCCGAGTCTACGTGCTGTTTTCGAGAGTCATTACGAATCGTCTCACACGCAGACTCGACGACTTCCAGCCTCCCGAACAAGCCGGTTCCCGAAAAGGCTTTATTACCATAGACCACATACATACCCTTCGGCAAATTGTATAGAAATCCGAAGGGTACAATCGGCCACTTTGTCTGGCGTATGTGGGCTATGAGAAAGTGGGCTGTCGGTATATCGAAGTGCTGAAATATTTGTGCAGTAGGGCTACGATGGCCATCCGAGTACAGAACCAGAGTACGAAACCTATCCGACTGCAGAGAGGTGTAAGACAGGGTGATGTTATATCCCCTAAACTCTTCACCGCTGCGTTGGAAGACGTTTTCAAGCTACTGGACTGGAAAGGATACGGTATTAACATCAATGGCGAGTACATCACTCACCTTCGATTTGCCGACTATATAGTCCTTATGGCAGAATCGCTGGAGGACCTTAGCACTATGCTCAATGACCTCAATGGTGTCTCCCAACGGATAGGTCTTAAGATGAACATGGACAAAACAAAGATCATGTTTAATGTCCATGTCACACCTATGCCGGTAATTGTTGGGAGCACTATGCTCGAAGTTGCTGACGAGTACGTTTACCTGGGACAAATAGTCCGACTAGGTAAGTCCAACTTCGACCGAGAGGTCAATCGACGGATTCAACTCGGCTGGGCAGCGTTCGGGAAATTACGACACATCTTCTCGTCAGGTATACCTCAAAACCTGAAAACTAAGATGTACAACCAGTGCGTGTTGCCAGTGATGACATATGGAACTGAGACGTAGTCCTTCACTGCTGGCCGTATGAGGACGCTCAAAGTCGCTCAGCGAGAGCGGTGAGGGCTATGCTCGGAGTTCCTCTGTGTGATAAACTTAGAAATGAGGATATCCGCAGTAGAACCAGAGTGACCGACATAGCCCAACGGATTAGTAAGCTGAAGTGGCAATGGGCCGGCCATATAGCTCGAAGAACCGACAACCGTTGGGGAAAAAAGGTTCTCGAGTGGCAGCTTCGTACCGGTAGGCGAGGTGTAGGGCGACTCCCCACTAGATGGAGTGACGACCTGGTAAGACATGCAGGAAGTCGATGGATGCAGGTTGCTCAGGACCGTGCTTTGTGGCATACCTTGGGGAGGCCTATGTTCAGCAGTGGACGTGTGAAGGGCTGTAATTATGATGATGATGATGAATCTAGCGATTTCTTTTCTTTTTCGGTGATTTTGGTGGTCCACCTCATTTCACGTCTCCAATAACCTATAAAAACGAAACATCGAATAATATATATAATATAATGTAATTAATTTATGATTAAGTTTTTAAGCTATTGCATAGCTTCTATCGCGGGCCTTGAGCGCGGGGACCGAATCCAGAAATTCCGTAACGAAAAAAAAACCTCACGCTCCCCACTCCGACGGGCACGGAGGTGTGGCGTTGAAAGCCGTGCATCGTCTAACGTCGTTTTAGTTCGGCAGACTTCGGCACTCGGCAGACTTCGGCACGGTGTTTGCGTGCGTGTACACTAGCTGCTAACTCAATGATAAAAATTCCTGAATAACCTACATGTATTGTAAGATATTAAAAATATTTTAAACAATATTAACTTCTCATTTATTCAATAAGAGAAAAAAAATTTTTTCTTATCGGTCACCACGCTCAAAAAGTGTAACTTGATTTAATATCAAAGACTTAACTGCATAACTAAAATAAATAAATAATTATAATTGCATAAGTTGATATAAAATGATATGCAATAGCTTTACCGCGGCAGTCACCGAGTGCCACACGTATTTTTTTTATAATTTAGTTAGACGTAATTAGTAATTTACTTATGTGTATTTAATTCATTTATAATAAGTGATTTATAATTTTATTTTATTTTTGATTAAGTAAAAATGTTTAGCTTGTACACCGTAGAGACATGAATTCCTATTGAACTTGATATTGTCTAGGCCATGTCATTATGTGATTTGTCACAATCAGAATTCTTAAATGATTTAAACAAATTGTATATAATTTGTTATTCTGTAGATTGCAAGGGCGCTTAGTACCCATAACTACAGGAAATATGTCCTCCATGACTCACGCACGAAGCACGAACAATATCGTCTGGATACTCACTATCACTAAAAAACTTTCGACGCGCAGGTAGTCATTGAGTTTACTGTACCCGATATATTACTTTCCTCTATGGTCAACTAAGTGTGCATGTAACTACAGCCCCAATAACAACAGGGTTTTGGCGGGAACTTGGCCGTAGACGGATTTTCGCTCCTGTTTTGTCGCTTTAAAGTGGATTTTGATTCGTAAAAGTGATGCGATTTTGTGAATTAAGTGTCCTTGCGTGTAAACTATTAGAGAAAACGACGAAACAAGTGCTTTGATGTCGATATAAACCTCAAGTTATTTTGGTCGCTTGGGCACTTCATGAACATGAGTGGCTGTCGTTATCAACTGTCCGCTGGGTTTAGCTTTCGTCAAAATCTCCCAAGGGTTTCGCAATGTGTTGTATTAGCATATTGTGAAGAAAATAATATAAAAATGAAAATTCCAAAAGAAATGATAGGCTCAGAAGGGCTAGAACCCAGAGCCGTAAAGCCAGTTAATAAAAAAAAGCAATAACAACAAAGTCAAAATTTTCGGTATTGGTATACACAGGTACATAAATATATTTTGTCCTAGGTGTGACATATATAGACTTTTTATATACGGAGTAATAAAATAGTATAGTCGACCTCACAATATTGCGCCGCTTGCGTAATTTTAAGCCATTTTCTCGATTTTATTACGCAAATGTGTCCGCGGTGAACTAGCTTTTATTCTACACAGATGGAAAGTTAAACCAATTTAGATTCTCAAACAAGCCATAAATATTCCTTATATTTGATTACTGAATGAGTAAAGTGAAGCCGATTTCTCACCTCATCCGCGATGAGGAGTTACAGAAGGGTAAGGGAAAGGGATGACTTTAGTGATCATTAAAATATGTGCATAATGCTAAATAAGTAGGTGTTTAAAACACAAATTACCATAATAGTTCAAAGTAAATTAATAGTTTATTCACGGGGTTCAGAAGGCATATCAATGTTTTTTTTTCATAGGAGAGGTTGCAAAAAGCATACGGCTCACCTGATGGTAAGTGATTACCACCACTCATGAACAACTGCAATACCAGGGGCATTGCAGATGCGTTGCCGGCCTTTTAAAAAGGAGTAGGCTCTTCTTGAAGGTCCCTAAGTCGCATCGGTCTGGAAAAATCTCTGGTGGTAGTCGATTCCACAAGGAAGTTGTACGAGTAAGAAAACTTCTTTTAAGACGCACGGTAGTGTAGCGCCAGTCATCCAGATGGTATGGACGGTATCGCGAGTTTTGTCACGATGTGCGATGGTAAAATTGTGCGGCTGGAATTAGTCCGAACAATTCCTCAGAGCACTCCCCGTGGTAGGTGTGATAAAATACGCAAAGAGACGCAACATCTCTTTGCAGTGCCAGTAAGTCAAGCCAATCGGAAAGAGCTCGGTCGCCGGCGATCCAAACAGCTCTGCGCTGGATGCGATCAAATGAAAGGAGCTGGCGCTGGGGAGCCCCGGCCCAGAGATGAGAACAGTATTCCATGTGTGGCCGAACCTGTGTCTAGTAAAGTTGCAGGCGGTGAGCCAGCATGAAATACTGGTTAAGATAACGGTCACTAAATCCCGGTAATAGCACTACCTACGCCGATCACTACTTATTAGCCAATAGTAGGCTTTAAAAAGAGATCATTTATAATGTTCAATTCTTTGATAAATTGTAAAAGTGAGGATTAGTGTAATATACCACTCATTAAAGAAATAAATTTTAAATATGGACCACGTACACGTAACGTTTTAAACTGACACGAATTCAGAACTCATTCAACTTCCTAATTGTATACCCTTTTCACGTTTTCTACTCTTTGTGGCTTTATACCAAAAACGGAATATTAATAATAAATTGTTTTATTTATTATACTGGTAATTTATTTTCATACTTACAGTTGTAAATTATTGTTGAGCCAGTATCAACAATAATTTTTAGTAATTCGCAATGTGCTAATACGCTAAATAAGAAATACATAGTTATGCATCCCGGTATTCCCGGAACTGCACCGGAGACCATCACAATTCAAGCCTAAGCGTGGATGTAGATTCCTGAATTACGTCTGGAAGACTTCGTGTGAGCACCGATAACTTTTCTTTAGTTTAATGATCTAGTATAAGAATTAGGATAGTCATAGGCTCTCACATCTATCGGACATGTAGTTTTAAGTTAGAATCCATCGAGGATTAATTACGTAGTATATAAGTAATGTATCGCACATTAATAGTAATAAGTTTAAAATAAAGTCTTTTTAAAAACGTCCTGAGTCAATTTCGAATATTGACTACATTTTGTTTATTGGTTAGAAAAAAGAAAATATTGTTTATTTATTTACTTTTTTATATAGTTCTTAACGCATTATTTAGTGATCTAAAACCAACTTCTAATGACACCGATTTGGGGAACATCGATGGGATTATTAATCTTTGATTTTAATACACTTCTGGACTCTGCGTACGATTGACTTTTTGTATTTACGTTTTTTGCTTAAAAAGCAAGCATCCAAGCCAAAACTCAATAAATAAAATATTACGCCGTATTTGTATTTGATATAAGAAAAATAGATCTATGCGCCGTATACGTCAAAATTTATCCAAAATATACATTTGGACGTGTTTTCATGAATTTGTTCGTAGAAATGTCAGTGTGGAAAATAGTAATATTAAGAGTACTGTGATGTTGCTAAAGTGATAATGACTAGCGTGTTAGTGTAAAACAATTGTTTGAAAGTGTTAGTGATCAATTTACTATTTAACTACAAGTCTTAACTGGCGATCATCTGGTATTTATGCTTTTTGAGTTCTTTTAGACGTATGTAGTATTTGTAGAATATAGTAGGTAAAGATTTTAAGTAATATGTTTTTTTAGTAACGTGTATTATTGTAAATACATACATTGTCAAATAATAATAACACTACATAGGAATTTGTGATAGGACTTCCTTTGCTCTTTTAATAAAAATTTGCACACTGCAAAAGTCAACCAATAGTAAAAAGGGTTGGCATTTCCAATATGGGCCATCGATATCTGGTGGTTTTTTTGGGGGAGGGGGGAGTGGGGGCTACCCCCTGTGCCATCCGCACCCTGCGGAACCCCATGATTATGGATATATTCACGGTTAAGTGTCTGATGAAATGGAGGGCGGGGATATGGGATAGGGGCGGTAAAATGAACTAGATTAAATGAAGGTAAGGGTGGGAATTATGAGAGGTTGGGGGGGGGGGATTTTTTTATTTTGCGCCCGAAGAAATTTAGGGCAACCACTCGCGCACTACTTGAAGACTGCGCAGAAGAGGAAGCCGTAACAAGTGGCTCATTTGAGCCCAACACTTGCACTTCACTCAACTCTTCAGACACAGAAGTCTCCGAAGCCCCATGCTTCGGAGACGCCATGGTAGTCAAATGTTGTAAGCTTACAGGAGTACGTAAAACGATCTCAACTGCAAGCGCAACGGTCGACAATGATGTCGTTTCGCGGTTCTTTCTAAGCAGTGTAAAAACATATTTAGTGATCCGCAAAAAGTATCGATACCTGATTAGTATCGATACTTTCATTTCAATACCATGTATTTTTGTACTCGATACAATTTTTACGAATAACAAATCTTTAGCTAAATTATCAGCAATTTCATTGCCCTGAATCCGGCAGTCGCTAGGGATCCAAGCCAATACAATATTCAGCCCTTTTTTTATGACAATAGTACAGAGACTTTCAAATATTTAAAATTGGCGGGTATCTAATGGCTAATATTTCCAATATGGACCATCGATTTCAAAGCCCATATTTTTTTTGTAGATAGTACTCACTAAAAGAAAGCGTTTTGCAAAGTTTTAGGTTGCGGAAACTTACGGTTCATGAGATATATTTTTTTAAACTTTTCATACAAATTGGTAAATAAATTTGACAAATGATTGATTTCAAACATCAGTTAGTGTAGGGTTCCGAATATTTTGAAAGTATCGATACCTACTCGATACCAAGTATCGTATCAAAAGTATCAATACTACTTGGTATTGAGTACATTTCGTTAATTTTGGAGATGAAAAATTATGACAAACCAATTAGATGCATCGGAAGAGCTGATAAGTGCAATTACATATGTATATAAAGTAGAATAAAGTTTACTCTATTTAAGTTCCACCTTATTACTTGTATTTCATTGCTTGCAACTTGTTTGTATTTCTTAATTAGTACAGCTTTTGTACTTTTATTTTATTGTTTGCAACTTTCTGTATTATCTAATTCTTACTACAATAAAGTGTTTACTTACTTATTGACTTACTTATTTAATATCCAAAAAGTACCCAAAACCGAATCAGAGCACCCCACTATCCACGTGGTCTTGTCTGCCCTACCCCTAGAGTGTATATAAGAGCCCGGAGGCGACCAAAAAGCCGAAGCTGCGAAGGCGAGCTCAGGTGCCTGTGCTTCCCTACGCTAGAGCGGAGGCACTGCTCATCCCGCAGCGCCGGAGCTGCCACGGAGCGCCGGAGCACAACTTCCCGGCTTCTACCCCCTTAGTCTCCAAAATTAGCGAAATGTACTCTATACCAAGTAGTATTGATACTTTTGATGCGATACTTGGTATCGAGTAGGTATCGATACTTTCAAAATTTTCGGAACCCTACACTAATTGATGTTTGACATCATCAATCATTTGTCAAATTTATTTTGTAATTGCGTGTTATTTGCCAATTTATATGAAAAGTTTAAAAAAATATATCTCATAAACCATAAGTTTCCGCAACCTAAAACTTTGCAAAACGCTTTCTTTTAGTGAGTACTATCTACAAAAAAATATGGGCTTTGAAATCGATGGTCCATATTGGAAATATTAGCCATAAAAAGTAATACAATAGTTTGATTATTAATAAAAAAAACTCATTGTTTTTATACACCTGATTCTGTTATTCCATGGGATAACATTTGAAAGGAAGAAAGAAAGAACAAAATCAAAACAAAAGTGTATTGTTTATGACTTATCACATATTATAATATAATAAAGTGGAAGTTTTTTTGTTTAAACGTGCTAATCTCTGTAACTAGTAGTTCAATTTCAATTTTTTTAAATTTATTGTAGCCAGATTCGTGAAGAATAGTATAGGCTATCTAGCATTACGCTACACTTTTCATTTATCCTTAAGTATTGATTTTACCACCAACATTTGGAACCAGTTGGAAATAAAAGCACTCGAACTGCTTCATCCGCATGTGCTGTCATAATGGCTAGTGATATGTAAATATAATGATCTACAAAAATATAGATCTTTTGACTCCATTTAGAAAAAGTCTGCAATACCATATGCCTATTTCTTATAACTGAGCCACAATAAGGTATTTTATGACAAAAAATTATTGAATATGAAAAAAGTGTTATGAGTATATATAGTATATATAGGCATGGCATATTATTCCTTTTTTTAATTTTGTGACGATAAACTTTTCTCTTAATAGCATGTTATTTGGATTCATAGTTTAAGACATAAAGGCCTTTGACAAGGTTGATCACTCTATTTTACTTGTCAAACTCAAAAGGATAGGTATAGCATGTATTGTTGATGGTTATGCTACTGAGCCGTTTTTTGCCTATACTGGCGTACCTCAAGGATCTCATCTTGGGCCTTTGTTGTTTAACATTTTCATCAATGACATCAGTAATTGCTTTAAGAATTCAAAATCTTATTTGTTTGCTGACGATCTAAAGATCTTTAGACCTGTCTCCTCAAATTCTGATGCACAATTCTTACAGGAAGACTTAAATAACTTGACATCTTGGAATGACACTTTGAATTGTTCTTGTTCTTCATCGTTCCAAGAAAAGAACAAGTCAAAGTGTTCAAGCAAGGTTTTGCAATAAAAATTAAAATGTACAATAAATTGCTAATAGAAATAACAAGACTTCCGCTATATGCGTTCCAACAAGTTATAAAAACATTCTTTTTAAATCACGCTTTTTACAACATAGAAGAATATATGCAATGTTCATTTTCTGACTTGTTTGACACATAAAATAATGTAATGTAAATGAGATGTATGTTAATTTGTAATTTTAATTATATTATTGTAATTGTATAATTTGTAATTTTAACTATATTATTGTATTTATATAATTTTAATTGTAATTTTGACGTACCAATGTTACGTAATGTAACGTAATGGCAAATAAATAAATAAAATAAATTTATTTAATCACTTTCACTACAACTAGATTAGTTATCCTCATCATCATTGTTTACATTAATTATTATTTTATTTTGTACAATTAATTTAGTAATAATGACGAAAAAAAACAGAGGTTGCCAACGTGCTTGCCAAGAGTAGCAACTATGGCAAATATCCTCAATGACTCAATCTAAGGGGGAGGCATATGTTCAGCAGTAGATTTTAAATGGTTGTAACTGTATCACATTCAAAATGATTGATTCTTTTATAGTCGTCTATAACATTTTTCTTTGTTTTGTCTATCAATTTGGCCCAGTAATAGTTTGTGAAGTAGTTGTATTTTCTACAAATCCTCCTCCGGCGGATGTCACATGGTAAATTATGAGGCGCCCACCTTTTTCCACAGGCACATGTCACCTGTCTATGTCTGCGGCACAGTTTGGTTGGTGTTTAGCCATGTTTCATCAATGAATATAACATTGTCCCAATTGGTTATATTTTAATTTTTCGTAAAAGTGTTATTCTTTACATCATGTGTCAAAAATAATTATTTTGTGTTTGTCAATTTTTTTGTATCGGAAGCCAATTTCGGTTTAAATGGTTTTTAATGACTCTATACTACCATATCACAATCATGATTCATGTAATTTTTACAGGTCTCAAAATAAAAATTTACATAAACAAATAATAAATTAAAAAAGGTTCGATTATTTAAATATTTTTACCGATTATTCGCATTAGAATGATATTGAAGCATCCAAGCACTACGGTGGGGTACATTACGACATATAATTGAAACAACATTAGTAAAGTAAAACACATACATTGGTAAAGTAAAAAATGACTGTCAATAAGAATTACATGTAATCTATTGTTGCGCGGCTAAGTTGACATCTGACACTAGCGCCATCTAGTGTCAGGTAACGGAGCGAGGGGAGAGCTTTCCAGAAAATGACATCACTAATCTTTCAACCGACAGCGCCATCTGTTGTCGAAACGAAGAACTAAGCTTCTGGAAGCTGACTCTCAAACTTTCGGCGCTTTGTCGATTGGTGCGCGTTTTTACTTGAATGTTCTGGATGATTCGGTACTAATGTGTATTTATAGGCGCTGTAAGGTGCGATCGGGGAATTATGGAATTCGGCGAGACAAGCGAAGCTTCGGAGCGGAATAAAGTTAATTATTAGTGTTTTAAGTTTTAATTTGTGTAAAGAAAATTAAAGTGTTAATTTAGGTAGTTCTATCGGCAATTTTTATTATCACGAACCTCAAGCTCGTAACACTATATTGAATAAAAAAAATATTCTATTCTATTCAACCTCAAGCATAAAAGTTGATTCTGGTAATTTGTTTTTATATTTTGCTTTATTTGAAAAATTCGAATTTTAATGAGTGATAGACAACTTTACATGTTGTAATGAAATATAGATAACTTTATAAATCTTTGAATTTACGTAAAAGGTTATTTTAAATTGTATTAGTACCCTTGTACAAAGTTATTGCGGAATGATTGATGCAAAATGTCTAAAGATATTTCTTAAACTCGGTTGGGTATAATATATAACCAGTTTTATTATATTACACTATTGTTATAAATAATCATCCCACTTCTGATGTTA